CTCCGAGCGATTCGACGCTCGGTGTACAAAGTGTTTCGAACTAAATATCATTCTTCGATTTATCATTCAAAAAATATATTTTTTTTTTTTACTCAATTCGTTGAAAAACTTTTATAAATAAAGTATAAGAATTTGACGATACCGTCTCTTTATTCTAGTTTACTCTTCTATTTTGAAACACTCTGCGTAAAGCGTTCCATAGAATTGCTGAACAATAAATTGAAAACGATGGTCCCGAATGAACGCGATCGATGTTGTTTTAATCGATGAAGTACCGTTCGTTTCACTTGCCGATCGATACCCATAATCAGCTTTCTTCCCGTTATCGCTTCGACACAAACATCGCAATCGACTCATCTTCGCGGAGGATTTCCGTTCCGCGCGAGCAAATCGAGAGAAAGAAGAGGAAAAAATGACAAAGAGAAACCGATACTGCGGGTCCTAGTTTTCGCGTAAGATAATAATCTAATTAATACTAACATGGGCTTGGTGGAAGAGATATAGTACGATTATAAACTAAATCTTTAACCTTAATTCGCTGATATCTACTTTGATTAATCGAAAAGAAGATCGTAGCCAAGAGTAGATATCAAATTGTAAAAGTCATTCTTAAAGCGATACATCAACCATGTTTTTAAAATCTGCTTTTCACATTTTATACCATACATCGTTTTTTCTATATTATGGAGCGTTAAAAAAAAGGAAAGAAACGATCGAAACATCGAGAACAAAAGTGGATTGAATAGGTATATCGGCTCTATATACATCTCCAATAAGCTGTATTAATTATGCAAAAGTGGAAAAATTCATTTTTAGATAGGATTAGTTTTGAACGACGAATTATTCAATTTGTGGCGTTTGAAATCAATTCGCTTTTACTCTTCGTACTTCGATTTTGAATGGACGCTCAAAATTTCGGCATTCTCGTATCTATCTTTATCTAATCGAAATTAACCTTTCGAATCTTGAAACCTGTAAATATTAATATATAATCAACTATATCGTCTCGCTATAATCTCTTTCACCTACAACAAGATATATTTATATAAATTCAATCGATCGATACAAAGAGCGCTCGATAGAGAATCGTTCGATAGAGAACGATAAATGGCTGGAATACGGTACGATTAAAAATACAACGAAGCTTCGTCGATTTTCATCGTTGAAACGAATAAATTTAAACTCGTTTCGTATCCAGATCACGTTGTCGTGTTACGAATTTCGAAATATATTGCAGATTTCCTATTTATAGTTCTCGTTTTCGATCGTTTGTTTCTTTGATTCTTCTCTTTCAAATTCGAAATATACGACATAGCCAACGTTCCCTTTAATGCGACAATCTCGTCTCTTCGATTTTCGAATTTTTCGAGTAAGTCGAATGCTATTTGACTTTTCAAATTACTCGAAACATTCGCCTAATCAAACATTCGCTTGGCGTTCGCTAATTTAAGAAATCGACTAATTCGTTCTAATGTATTTCTGCGAATATTCGGATATTAAAAAATAGCCAAAATCTCTATCTCTTTAAGGTTCGGAATTTTCAAATTCGGAAAGTATTCGAATTCTTTCGTTACAATTTAATATCCAAATATTTCCACATACTTGAATTATATAATTTAATGGTACGCGATACATTGCACAAATCGTTAAAAATTGGAATTTCTCTAGTTGATAAAATTCGATGTATCGAATGATACGATTATTAGAAATAAAATATTTCGCGTTACACGACGAAACAAGTTTCCCTCGGTTCGAATTTCAAGTGCAACTGTAATTAGTTGCCAGTCTTTCGATCGCGTTCGTTTGACGATATTCGATTTCGTAAAGAGCGTATCACACACGTGACAGCATAGTTGATCGAGAAGCAAATAATTCGTGGCTATCTCGAAGGACGTTGAGCAAAGAAGTCATGTTTCCAATCTACGATTCCGCCAATCGAGTTTACATTTCGTCCAGTGGCACAAATTGAAAAATCATTAACGCTATTCTTATCCTTATCCTATAGATTATTCTAATCGTCGCCGTACGTTCTGTCCGATTTACACAGCCTTTTCTTCCTCGAACGTGTCTCGGTGAATCACGACGCTTCGTTGTCATAACCACCGATTCTTTTCTTATCTAAGCGCATCGAGTTTCTGTCCAATTGCGAAGAATCGATAACAATAAGAAACACATTAGAGAAAGACTCTATAAGAGACAAACAAGTGATTTTTCAATTATTAACGAAATAATTTGTTTAAAGTACTTATAGAAACACGAAACTGGAATATCGTACGGTGCTTGTTAATATTTCAAGGCATCGTCGTACTTTGGTTTCGACAAATATTTCGAGCAAACCATCGTAACGCAACGAATATTTCATCCGAATGGAAAATGTTATAGGAAAAAATTTGTATAGTTAAACACCGGAGTCGCTAAAAATTCCTTGTTAATCGAAGCAAACGCGTTCCTGGCGACCGTTCGAGTAGCAAACTTTTCGCACATTGGACCGTTTTAAAGGAAATCGATGGAAGGAGAAACGAGACGAACGGAGGAAACGATTCTAAACGGTTTCAAGCTTCGTCGTCGATAGCGCACGAAATAGAAACTCGAAAAGTCTGATTCTCGCTAGCTCGGTCCAAAGAAACCAAGGGTTTCCAACGTCCTGGTGACTCTTTCGATTAATTGGTCCTTGTATCGCCATATCGTGGTGTCTAACACGCTGTTCTCGCGATATTGGACGCAAGTCTTCTTCAACGATTTCACGCAATCGGCTCTGTAATGCTGAAGTTGAGCATCCTCGGTCTCTATGGGGTAACTGGTGCAACCGGCGCCCAAACAGGCCAAAGGGAAGTGATTGTGCAAGGTCACCACCCTCTCCGGATTGTGGAAGCACTTGATGTACTGATTAGGTTTCGTGAAGTTTTGCGAACGATAGACGTGTTGCAACATATGCATGTACCTGCGAACATATGAGAAATTTTGAACAAAGGATTAACGGAGACGTTGCATCGCTCGGTTCTCCAATCTTTGTATATTTCAATTTCCAAACACTCGAATGTCCATATTTTTAGACTTTCCGATATTCCGATTCATACGTTTTCAAATTTTCGAATTTTCAAACGTTTGAATCTTTTAATTCTCGAACTTTGGAATTCCCGAATTTTGGAAAATACTAGATCTTCGAATTTCTCGTCTCTTAAAACTTCAAATTCCTAAACTCTTCGATCTGACTCTCTAACTTGTTAAATTTCGCAGATTTGCAGGTCATTGAACCCTAAAACTTTCCAATTTTTCATTATCGATTTCTAATGTTTCTAATGTTTGAAACCAAAGATCTACGGATTAAGTAGAAGGAAATTCGTGAAATGTATATTAGATCATTTACGGTTTCGTTACGTTTCGCTTGGCTTTGCTTCTTTTCGGTTGTTCAAAATTGGCTGACAGCGTTTGAGCGGTTGCTACATCGTAGTCGATACTATAGTTATTTTGTTAAACAGGGGTCCCGATACTTAGTTGGTTAGTTACGTTAAAATTTGCCAATACCTTTAATGACACAGAAGAAATTGTAAAAGTATCTTGGGTGCAATTTATTCGGCTTTCGAAACTAAACGATCGTTTACCCAACACGAAGAATACCGTTATTATCGATACGTTACCATCTAGTATTACGTTCAACCTAAATTTCACAATTTTACATAATTTCCAGTAAGGCTAAGATCTCGGATGAAATTACAATGATCGATATAATCATCGAAAAATTTATTTCCTTTGTATTCTGATCAAAATATTCTCTATGATAGTTATCTTTTTCTCAATGAAGATCGAATCTGATCCATCGACTTTCTTCTTGATATAACGAATCGTCGCTCTTTCTTTTATTCGACAGATTACTCGAGTCAAACTATCGCAAAACATCGATAGGAAAGAAAAAGTTCTATTTCGTTGAATGTAATGAAACAAATAGGAAAATAAGTTATATAATATAATATATAATATACAATAAAATAAGTATGGTACTCACTTTGGCATGTCCTTAAAGTACCCGTGCGAGTGCAGCAAATCGTCGAGGAAATACACGTTCCTCACGTTATACGAAGCCCTAGTCTCGTTTCTAATCTTTAACGCTTTCTGCAGCACCCTCTTCATCAAATCCTGCCACGTAGCGTCTTTCACCGGCATGATCACTTCGTCCACGTCCAATAAAGCGATATATTCGTACTCGTACATATGCTTGTACAAACAGTCGTTATATGGAATCAGTTCGTTCTGTCTCTTATGATTGGTCTTCTTTGTCAGATACATGTGTTGAAAAGCAGGAACGTTAGGTTGCCCACCAGGTAACGTCAGCGGGGTCACATGGACCATTCCTAATTTCTGATAATGATCTAGAATCTTTGTCACGTTAGGATGAACCTGGAGCTGATAGAAGAAGATCTTGTCTGCGCCTAACAGGCTGATCAACTCGATCCATTCGACCAGTCTGACAGACAAATCCTCGTGAAGGAAATCTAGACCTTTCACGCAGACGGCAAAATCTTTTTTACGTTCTGGCTTATTGTATATGACTCTAAGATTATTGCTGGGAGTGTCGCAGCTCTTTTCTACCATAGAAACTGAAGCCGGAGGTCCCTTCGACCAATGAGACTGGGGAATCTTGCAGGCAATTACGTACGGCTGATAGATTCCCTGTTTGTAGTTACCCCATTTAGGGTACCAGATATATTTATATTCCATGGTCTCGACAATGACAGGATCTCTTTCCCCATCGTACCAAAATTGACAATGAGTCTTTACAGTAGGCTCGATTCTATCGATCATCCCAACGATCCTAACGGCTGGCCCTATTCTCGACAGCTTTCTACGGTCGTAATAAGCACCAAACAATTGAAACGTGCCGTTACCGGTTCGCATCGTTTGCCAGTAAACGTTATTGAACTCTATATCGTAGATAGAGGGATATTTCAGATTGGAACAGCTGTAATTGCCTTTAGTCTTGCTCTGACTAGCAGGATATTTGCTGTTCTTGTTCCAGTAAGCTAAAGGCAGACTAGGTATCCTCTGTTCTATTTCCTCGATCAACTCTTCCTCTGTTTTCGCTGGTCTTTTATCCAACAATGGCTCCAACTCCGAAGGATTTTTCGTTGGATTGTTGGATATGGTGGTCAAAGTGGTTAAGAGGCTGGAACCACCGGAATTCGAAAAACTGGAGTCTGCCGAGGATCTCTGCAAGAGATATCTGGAGAGACCGAGACTGGAAGAGCCACGGTTCTTCATTATCTCGCGTCGACGATAGATGTCGTCGAGGAGAAGGTCGTTAGCGGACTCTTCGGCCGTTGGTGTCTCTCTGAGGCTGTTCTCCACATGACGGAATTGCACCGCCGCGATCATCACCAGGCCCCAGACGAACACGAACAACAGAGCGCGTCTGACGCACCTGGACCCTACGCCGCCACAGTTCTGCCACTTCATGCTGATCGACTAGCTGCGTATCGATTGGGACACGCTGGCTCTGTGGCCCCGGCTCCACTCACGCGGACGTCCAATCGTGTTGCGTCTGAAATCAAATTGAATAATAGTTACTAAGAGAAAGTATTTTCTTACCTGTAAAATACTATAATAATTATAATAATTATTATAATAGTACAATAACATAAAACAGAACTCTCTCTCTCTCTTTCTCTCTCTCTTTCTATCTATCTATTTATTTCAATGAAATTTTTATAGTTTCTACTTTATTAATTTGAACCTGAATTTCTTCTATGCATCCTACTTTCTTCGTATAGAAGAAAGATCATAGACAGCTCAGAGAATCGGTGAATTCTTATTATACGAACTAATATAAGCTATTCGTCTCTCGACAAATTCATATAAGCGGAACTCTACCGAGCAAATTTACTTCTGTATACTTGTTTCATATTTTATTAGGACGATTATTAAGCTCCTTTTAAACTCGTTGTTTCTAATATGCTAAAAAGACTGTCTCGGCGGTAATATCACTTGCTACGTATAATAAACGAGATAAATTAGTATTGGAGTATTTGAAGACGTATTAATTTCCAACGATCTTGGACTTTTTCACGTATTTGTAGGAATCGTTAGATCGTTCGGCCCCGATGTCTAAGTCATATTTATTGAAAAAGAAAGGAACGTACAGACTCGATATTCAAAAGCGGAAAACTTTCTTACCACGAATATTAGCTCTAGCGACGATGATTCCGTCGGTTTGTTCAAACTATTTTGCAAACTACAATCTTCGCAAAGTGAAACTTAAATATACAGGATGTTCCAAAGGATACGAAGATTGAGAGTACAGAAAGCATAATAGTATCTCCCGGGACGAGCCGCGTCGGTTCGCCTAACGTTTGGGAGGAAGTCGATAATAACCGGAAGCGTTTTCCCGACAGTTGACGCAACCGGCGAAACTGGAGGATCGTAATCAAACTCTTCCTCCTTATAAATCGAGTTACAAGAAAGAAACAAAAAGAGATTATCCTACAGTTGTTTTTACTCGTCGATAATCTGAGACTATGATCTTCGACGTAATTGCTCTTCCATCGAGGAAAATCTTTTCCTGTATACCATTAAGCTTGGGTTATTACTTGCGATCGCTCATCCAGAACAATATTACCATGAACTAAATGACTTCGAGGTTAGAGTTAGAGGTCTTCGTTGAACTCCACGTTATTACGATCCTGCTCTTGTGAAATTATCCTTGAAACAAAATCTTGCGTTCTAAATAAACTTAAAATATATTTCCATTCGAAATTTCTGACCATTTTGTTTTCGTATTGAAACCATGAATTCTAAGACATCGCTAATCTACCGATGATACTTTGAAAAAATCGCTTCTTTCGATTTACATATCTTCTTTAATTCGTCGTTAATATACCGCGGATCTTCACGCGCTTAGATGCATACGCGTGGAAAATTGAAAGGTACAAGACCCTATACAACGCGTATGCGAGAATACATAAAATATCTAAAGGACAATATTTGCTAATTAAAAGAAATATCTGCCTGAGACTTGCTTTTTTAACTGCGTTTATAGGACTACGAATTTGCGTGAAACCGTAAACTCCGGGCTCTTTCGCAATTGTCAACTTCGATTGTTCGGCTAATTCGTTCATTTAAAATATAAAAGACGTTACTTGTTATATTTTCTGCCTGTGATCGTGAAACAGTGTACACATAGAACTCCAAGCGATTACGATCCTGGTTTTCGAAATTATCCTTGACCTTTTTGGCGCTTGGGATGGTAATAATTTCCAATTTTATCGTTTTTCAATTTCAGTGGTGTACATGGAAAGTGAAAAACAAGCTTGGTAGACAAACGGTATGGTGGAAGGCTTATCTGGAACGAGTCGACCGTGTCAAGGTATCAAGAACGATACTGGACTTACTGCGGTAGCTTTCACGCCTGGCCGAGGAGACAGCTTTTATTCGTCTGTTTATTTATAAACCGGGTGTAAGTGGCGGAGCGTGATACGAATTACGAAAGGTGGTGAATAATCCGCGAGGAATGGAGGGGATGGCTTTCGACTTCTGTATTTTTGTACATATATTTCTAATTTTATTTTCACTCTGAGCTTATTCCTCGAGATATTACTTGCAAGATATTACACCTTGAGTTGTAAGTTTTATTTTATCATAGCAACGTGCGTCATAGCAAAAGTAAGACATTTGAATGTAAAATTTTATAAAATTAAGACAGAAAATGATCATAGAATTAAGAATTTAGTACTTAGAATTTAGGCAAATCGAGAATCGTAAAACTAAGAATTGATAATGCGTCTTTTATATAAATATATTGGCGTAATGGACGTTTGGTGCGATGAGCGTTAAATTCCAGAAAATTAGAGACGATCGAGATAATTGCTAAAGATTTAAAAAGACATCGAGATTCGAGATCCAGGCAGATACGTAGGAAATTGAAGACGTTGGACTTATCTCTGTACAATCGTACGTTTAATGTGTATCGAATAAAATAAAAGACCATGACTAATAACCAATGGTTCGCGGCTCGAACGTACACATGGTAAATTATTAACGTTAATAGCTAATAAGTTGCGTACAACAGTAGCAACGGAAAATCTTGCGATATTCTCGCAAAGAAAGAAACGATTACATGACCGATTTTACGACCTTGCTAAGTCACGTGGCGACCTTGCCAGTAGGAATGAAGCAAAGCTAAGATATACGCATTACGCATAATAGCCTGTAGAATCTAATGAAATGTTGAGTTAATTCACCGACTAACAGCATCGACGAACACGTTGAATATCTGATCGATTGTGAAATACGGCATTCCATCCTTTTCAATTAATGTCTAATCGAAGCTAAAGTTGTTATACCTATTCTAGATGATTTTCAAAGTTTATCGGAAGTTTGCAGAACATTTAATAATCGCAGGATTCTGACAGAGATTATAATCTCAGAGGGCCGGGTACTTAAATTTATTTTTCAGATTTTTATCAATTCTTATTAAGCAAAACTTTACTATACACAGACGCGTAAATTCCGACGTTTATTCAGTTTTACGAACCAATTATATTACGAAAGCTACTATAAAAATTTACTGTAATTTCAAAATCACATATATTCGATATTTTATAAGAACCAGAAACACAAGTTTAAGATATATTCTACACACGCTATCTGAGATTCCCAGCTTCTACCGTTTCAGATATTTCTATGAATCTCTTTTAGCCAGAAACTCGAATATTTAAATGTAAACCGATTGTTAAACGTAAATTTTAATTTGGTCGATTTTACGATTTCGACGTGTCGTAAAAGCTGCGCTATCGACGATAACACAACCGGTAGCAGATAAAAGTCGATTATGATCGGTTAAGAGACCCTCTCTGCTAGTCGAATCCTTGTTATCCAACCACGCCAGAGAAACAGTGAGACGCGCAGGCTCGGAATACGTGGAACCGGTTATGCTGATGGCAAAGTGTTTTTCACCTTTTGCACCTCCCTCTACCTGGCCATCGCCCAGCCGCTCGCGAACACGCCGATGCTCTTTCGTCTAGCTAGCACGACGCTGTCCAACTTAAGTTCCAGAGCTTTTAGTTGGCGAACCTATCTCGCTTTTGTCCGACGACGTGTTAACAGGCGCGTCGTCGAAATGAAATATTCGATTCGGAGGCTCGGGAAGTACAAATGCAGTTTTCTCAAGAAACGAAATGAATAAAAGAAAGGACGTATCACGCGTGTACTTGCACAGGCTCACGAAGGTATTCGAGTACGCGTTACACTTTGCAATCTCATTAACGATATTACCAGACTCTATTATCGTGATTATATCGATAGAGTTCAAAAGGAATCTGTAAACGTATGCAGGAATTATTTGATATTTAGCACGAGTATAATATTTCACAGAGATTACAAAAGTATTTAAACGGTCGATTATTCGCTACTTTTGTAAGCCTGAATATTTAATGGGACCATCTTTAACACCTCTTACATGCTCAAAGTGGATATTCGTGTCGTATGCTAGTTATGTACTAAATATATACTCGCAACAAGTATCTTTTGACTTGTTTATAGATTTTGACGATCGTGATAGTCGAGTCTTGTCACGATGTTAATGAAATTTCAAAATATTTCACGTAACATTCACCAATGTAAATATACAAGTTTTCTATTCAAATACCTCCGTGGGCATCTTACCGACCCAACAACAGCTAATTGTCATATATTTCTTCGTCTTGCGTATTTCTGGTTTCTTGCAGAGAAAGGAAGCGAAAGAGAAAGAGAGATTACGAGGCCCTCGGATTTGATGAGGAAAGTTTGGAGGAATAATCGAGTTTTTAACCATCTATAACGAGTTAAATACTACATATTCAAATGAGAAGCCAAATTGATCGATTCCATTAAGATAAATTGATTCTTAGGAAGTTAAACATTAATCGTAAACCCTCTCCTATTCGAATGAAGTTTGTATATTTTATAGAATTAAATTTCATTTTATCTATTTATTAGTATGTCACTATATTTCATTCCTATATCATAAGACTGGTCCCCGATGATTTATTGTAATTATTTTCAATTTATTTCTTAATCTACTATATTATCCGTTATATGCCACAACTCGTTGATAGTCTGTCATAATTTATTGTGGCTTGAGATTCGTTTAATATATTATAATTTATCGTAAGTGATCTAGTGAATATCGTTTTTCTTTGATAAATAAGATACATTCGAGTTATCAAAGATTTAACGATTAATAGGTAAGTTCCTTTTTAGAGTAACTTTCTGAGGGGTTACTTACGAGGAGGGTTGATGTGTAGGGAGATTAAAAGTTGAGGGAAGCTTCAGAGTGGACGAAGTTTAGTGCTTTGGGAGGATCATTGTAGGAATTTTAAGACTCTCCGAGGAAAATATTTTATTTAATATTTCTATTTAACGAGTATGGAAGTTTTTATACGTTTTACGCGTCTTGGAAGGATTATAGGTATTAAGGTCTAATTTTAATCTTAACAAATATTTTCACTCGCAAGATACGTTTAATCTCTTCAAAAGGAACTTTGGAGTAAGAATAGAAATCTTTCTTTTCGAAAGATCTCCAATATTAAGCTTAACTGTAATCCTTCCATTACAAGAGCATATTTCTGAAAAATGTCGAGTAAAAGTAAAATATTCAGACGGAAGAAGGATTCTAAGTTCTTCGGAAATTCAGGTTCAGAGTAAAAATCTTTCCTTAAACAGGAACATCTAAATATTCGTTATTCGTTCTATCACGAATCTAAGAGAAAACCAAAGATACCAAAACGTTGCTAACGAAACGGAAACCAAAGTACTACGAAAGTACCAATGTCCTTCTTGGGCCACTGGATTCAGAAAAGTCAGTCGTCTAGGCGTTTCGATGAATGGGATATCGCGTGCAAGGGAAAGTGTCACGCAGATCTCTCAATAAGCGAACTGTCCTTGCAATTTGAAAAAAAAAAGTTATCTCGAATTCCATCACGAACTAGCTTCGCGACACGACAGAATTCTAACTAAATTCGATTTAAAGACAAGAAAAAATATGTTTGTTTTAAGCGGGAAGAATGATAATCCAATAATATCAGCGATCGGATGGAATTTCAAATAACAGAGAGAAATTTTGAGGCACGCGCTCACGCTGGGCGTATTCTAGAATCGCAGTGATTCGAACAAATAATTTCGAAACTTATCGCGAAACTTATCACGAAAGATGATTAGGCCTTCTAGCGGTCCCTAAAGTAAAAGTGTACGATAAGCAGATGTATCTATTTTTATTTGCTTGAATCTCTTATGTTTGTTGAAATTGTCACGAGGAAATTATTATTCGTCGATTATCTGGAAAATTGAAACACGGAAGATTCGATAATACTGATCGTTTATCGTTGCCTTGTAGAGTAATTTTTCTGACGAGTGGAGTCAATTTTTCTGGCGAGTGGATCAAAATAGCTTCTATTGGTTGCGTTATTTTTAAGTTAAGTGACGTACGGAAGGATGGAATTTTATTTTTGAAGAACGTAGGATTTCAACTTGAAAATCACTCGATAGGAATATCGATTGATTTTGATCTACACGATTAAAATATAACGTGAATATAAGAAATAATATCGAAACAATTTCATTAACTCGTTTAATTTATATAGAAATTACTGTTAGTAATAAGTAGTAGTGGTAAGTAGTATTGCTATTAGTATTAATAACTTGTAAACTCTTCCATCCGAATTATTAAAACGTCTATTAATTTTATCTAACATTTCGTCTAGCTCAAAAACTACTGAAAAATCAAAGAATTACAAGAATATTCCTGGCTGGAAAGCGTCGCTTTGTTGCGTGTAGCCAGCACACGAGTTGAGTAAGTTTGTCAGGTCGAAACACTGCAGTCCGCTGTACCCTGAGAGAAACTGGACCCAGAAGCCGTAAATTCGTCAAGGTTAGGGACTGGGCGTGTCGTGACACAGCTTGGCGATAAGTCAATCTTTATTGGGAACGAAAGATCAGGACCTTATACCATTGTGCAATATCTGGAAGCATGGAACTTTCTCGGTAACGAATCTAGACTTTGGGTGCTGGGCTTAAATTCCCAACATTAGAATGACCACGGTAACGATTTTGAACCCCAATATCTGACGTGTATTAAGATAGAGATATTCCAAAAATTCGATGTAAACGCGCGATAACGTATTATAATTTTTACAGAGATACATGTGTTAAGTTACGATATACGTATAAGTATATATCTGTGTATCTGAAACTATATTTTAATTGTATATATTTAAATGTTATAAAATAAATTTTAATTTTAGTTCATGACAATAGCAATTTAACGAGCGCGGTAGAGAACGAACGATCAAAATTGCGAATCTTAACCTAATGAATGTTTTACGTAGATTACGTGGATTAGGAAAAACGTTCACATTCGAAAATTTCATTATATTTCATGGAAGAATCACACTGTTTAGTACACGAGACACAGCGTTTTGCTATTTCATCGAGGATGTCAAGCGTTTTGGATCTTTTTAGTGGTTTTTAAAAATTGTAACGCTTTAAAATAAAATAACTGTGAAATTAGATAATTATAACATAAGAAAACAATCGCGAGGTTACAAAGATTTCAATAACGAAAGCAATTGCAATCGTCGACCATTCCCAGTTCTCCACGTAATCGTATCTCGTAATTACATCTCATTCTTCGACGTATTAAAGTCTCCTTATACTTCGTTCAAGTATCGTATCGTTCTATGCAAGAAAAATATACTTTACCGCTGCAACGTAGAATATACCTCAAGAACGAAAAAATTGCAGATTCGTCAACTCCGCTGTACGATCTTTCAAACATCCCAACATTCGACAATTCCTCTAAATTCTGCAAAACGCGATAACCACGATTCCTATAATTACAATGTAAAGAATCTAATAAAAGTGGAAAAGATTTCAAGCAAACCCATTACGACCATCGACCTCTACGTTTCTCTGCGCAAACTACCATTCGCATTCGAAAGTTTCATTATACTCGAGCAAAGAAGCATGCCGTTCGACAGAGCGTTCGAAGACAAAGCGTTTTGCTATACGACATCCAGCTCAACCATATGGAAAGTCGACTGGAGAGAGCGACTGATGCTGTTGCTGTACGTGTCTGCTCCAATTGCGATTTCTCGCTTACGCGTGCTAATTAACCCTAATTGTAGCAGCCTGGGGAGAGAAGCGGGAGAACCAGAGACGATTTCACTCGTCGGGGATCCTTCTCGTCGATCTTCGCGATTCGAGAGTAAGATACCATTGCGATGTATCGTCCACGATCGTAAACAGACACACATACGTGTATACATACACGTGTCACGCATGCCTGGATTCTTTCAACACCGAAAGTTCCGTATTTCGGTGCTCGTGTATTACTCCTGGCAAACCGCTGGTTACGTGGAACGACAATTACGGTTATGTCAAACTTGGTTGGTTTGGCTTGTTTGCTATGATGCTTCTAACCACTCAACGTCGTAGCGTGTTAAGTAACGAGAGTGCAGAAATAAAAGACGATTATTAGACTGCGAATTTTTATGCATTTTTATATTTTTAGAAACACAACTAGACGGATGGAATTCAAATAGAATTTCGTTTCATCTATCGTTTGTATCGTATTCGCTTGTCGTATCGAGACTTATGCCTATTACCATATTTTTCTATATGTACGCGCTCCATACATTTTCTCTTTATCTTTATTACTATTCCGTTCTATGTCTGTTCCTTAAAACTAAATCTTAATCCGCTTAATTTGTCCAAACTGTTCATATTTTTTTAATTTTCATATCTTTTTCAATTTAATTTTATTTATATTCGTCCGTATCTTAATTTCTTCATTCCTTAAAGCCATATCTTATTTCGCTATCTGTCTTTGTATATCTATATCTTAATTTACTGCACGTATTATTATATGTCTTCTATGCGTTAGTCTTTGGATTTCACTTACCAAATATCTATTCTGCGTGTGTTTGCATCGCGTACGTTTATGCCGAATTTACAGATACAAAAATGCTTGCGATTCAGAAAAATATGACTCCTTATATCAAAATTTGATATTTAGTGGTTACGAGATAACGATTTACTTTTGGAAAATATGCGTACAAGTATTAATAGGCATCTATTTGTATCGCCTTTTATTCATTTTGTAACATGAAACGATTTTATATAACGATATTATCTATCTATCGTAAAAAAAACAGCTTCTTTCATTTATGCCACAAGATAGCAAATTGATAGTTTATGGGTTCTAATTAATGTACTCTAACGAGTCATTTAAAACCAATTATCTATTTCAAAATATTATTTCATAATATTCCCCTCAGCATCTTTAGCTTTTAGCGGTTCTTTCGAAGAAACGTTTCGAAGGCACGTTCTCTCTGAGAGCTAAATTCTGAATAGTTTTTCTTTTACTTAGCACAATTATTAATTGCATAGTATAAAATTAAGTTCTATAGGCTCTAAAGTCCCAGAGACCCATTATTTATTCCTCGATAGTCCGCATAACAAACGACATCGACTGTGTTTGAAACTTATTCGTGCATCGACGATGAATGAGGTCGATCATTGATCGATGGAAGATCATTAAATATGAAAGAAGGAACGTATCGGATGATACTCGTTTCTGTGTCATGGAATTGGTATTTTAATGATAATTGAATCATTCCTAAAACAAAGTGTCTGCTATGGAAATAGCTATCGCCCAATGTCCTTCGATCGCTCGTAGTAATTTTTTTTATCTTTAAAGTTGTTAATCTCCAGTCCGACTCTGTTAATGAGACGCACTACCATTATCTCTATTTAAAATCATCTTCGTACTCGGTGAAAGGCTCACCGCACTAAGATAGCATCGAGCAAGTCATCGTTTGCAAAATCGGAACATAACTTCAATCATGCGAACCATAATCGTTAAACAAAATTCTCTAAGAAACCAACCACGAAAAGAGCGATCCAAATTATCATTAATCGAAGATAAA